ACTAGCATATTTAAACACAGAACAAGAGGGTAGATTATATCTGACATCTATCAAGCTTTCTCCTTTCTCACCTTGGAGGAAGGCTGTTTTTCCATTTTTATTTAAGGAGAAGACTGATCAAGCTACAAAAGCAAACAGAATGGATGCCATGCTTCTCATTCAATTTGCAGCTCCTTTGCAAGTTCTCTCAGGAAAAGCAGAAGCAATACACTTAATGTAAAGTTCAAACAAGAACTCCCTACAGACAGCGATACTGATAAAGCACTATGCATCACTGCCAGTGAACCACAATGGCCTTTGCCATGGAACTTCAGCAGTTAACATAGAGAACAAGACTCTAGAATTGCAGAACAGAAATGTATTTCTGCTCCTCCAAAATTGATTTCTCTGCAGTGCAGCTGACAGGTGAAAGCCTACCTTATCCAGTTACAAGGTTTTACATGTGCACTAACCATACCTGCAAATAAAGCTCTGCACAGCTGCTTATACTTGCTCTGTTCACATTTTAACATCTGTAAGTTTGAAGAAGATTCTGTGTTTTAAAAACTGCCCGTAAAGATGACAGAACGTGGAAGGAAAGCCTGACACAGCCTAGCCCAGATCTGAATCAAAGCACTTCAGTCTAACAACATTTGGAAGGACACCCGCTTCCTGACAACTGCTCTTATTTCACTTCTCTCCTACATTCTCTTAGGCTCTGTTCCTCTCAGGTGTATGACTCTGCTACAGCAGGATCCCTCCTTTCTGTGCAAGAAAAATACCCTGTGACATTCTCTGTAGCTGTAGGACAAGAGCACCTTCCATGTGTTACACCTGCCATCCCTCATACAGTCCCACATCCTGGTGGAGTCCTCCTGGACCACTGCAATGCAAACAATAAAGAAAATTCCTATATTACAGTGAAATCTTTGCTGCTGTTGCTCCTGCGCGCTCTGCCAGGCAGGCAGCTGTGCTCTGCTGCTGTGTCCTGCTGGCTGTGACTGGACACACCTTCTCCCTTTCAGTCCTGTGTAGTCTGCTCCACCAAATGTCTGTGTATGCACAACTACCAGCACTATCAGATAGTCCCTTATCTTATCAAGGCACCATAGACAGTCCTGTGCTGCACTTACTCTGCAGAGACTTATTTTCCTCTACGCATTGTTTGTACAGTGACTTTTGCAATTCTGCCTGCAAATAGGGGCTAAGACAAGGGCAGAAATTTGCAGCTACTTCTGACAAACACCTTCTGTGAAACCAAGTGTTTTCTATAGAAAAAATATTTCCTGATGAGTGTCTGCAGTGGAACACTGGCATTCACATGCAAACAAATAGAATGACACTCCAGGAATAATCAAACTGTAAAAGGAACAACATATGTATCTTCTTAGAGCTGTTCTGTTACATGTGGTGTTTGTAATCATTTTCATTTCAGCCCTTTAGGGTGTTGCTCCCTCCCTCTTAACATTCACTAGAAATTCATTGAATATGACAGCATAAAGGCCCACATGCTTTAAAAAGCTCTTGGTCCCATTCAGTTGTTCAGACAGGGATTAAAACTACTGCAGGCAATAGCAGAGTAGTAAATATTGACTCAGCAGTAAATAAAATCAGCCCATTGAGGTGGAGTGTACAATATGTGCTGGGGGAAGAGTCATGAGAAAGCAGTATTGCTCTTGGGCAGATTAAACAGTTTACATCACAAAGCCACATGCTGTTTCAGGAAAGTCACAGTCTTCATTAAAAAAAAAAATAAATAAAACAAACACTGAGAATTTACAGTCACAGCAAAAATAAAATAAGGAAATTGCATTTTCATTTTTAATCTAGTTGAGAAGTTATCTTCATCTGCAAAACATTCAGTTTCATACTCATGGACAACCTTATCCTAGAATCATAGAATCATTTGAGTTGGAAGGGAACATTAAAGGTCATCTAGTCCACTTCTCCTGCAATGAGCAGGCTCACGTACAGCTCCTTCAGGTGCTCAGAGTAACATCCTACCTGCCTTTAAAGTCTCCAGGGATGGGGACACATCTCTGGGCAACCTGTGCCAATGCTTCACCACTCTCATTGTAAAATCCTTCTTTCTTATATCCAACCTAAATCTCCTATCTTTTAGTTTGAAACCATTTCCCTTTGTCTTATCAGAAGGGGATAATAAAGAGTCTGTCCACTTCTTAGACTTACTGAATAACTTACAGCTTACATAAGTAGGACACAAATACATTCCGATAAACAGCACTGCATAATGCGTATTCTGATAGCCGCTCCTGTGAATATCAAGTCACACAGTGCACACAAATTCAGCACCCGATTGGACTGGATGATCTTGGAGGTCTTTTCCAACACTGGTGATTCTGTAACCTGTGATTTCTGAGGATCTTCTCCAAAGCCAGATGCAGACTCCCAGATTCACTCAAAAGAACTGTCTGGATGAGTATGCATGTCTACATGGGCAAACAAACCTTCTTTCTGTCACATCCAGGATGCTGGAAGGAAAAGTATCCCACGTGCAATTTGAGATGAAATGGAAAGCTGGTATTAGTACTGTTTTGAAGAGACAGGAGTCCTGCAGGTTACGCAGGATTACTTTTGATTTCACTGGTGTGCATTTCATACAGCCCTGCCATCTTTTTCCCATTGCTCTCTGCTAGGAAGGAGCCGGATGCTAAGTGGCTTTCTGGAGAGGGCAGAAGGCTTGAGCCTTCCACCCATGCTCTGCAAGAACACCGTATGAAGTTCACAGATAGGTCTAGTCTCCCCATCATCTCACCAACTTGTTTCTAGGCAAGCTGGGAAGAGCAAACTGAGCTTTAAAGGCTCCTGTAAAGGATGCAAAACATAGCCAAATTTCCACTCGCTGAATTACTGGTGATCACAGCCTATTTTATAAATAAACAAAGAGCAGGCAGATAATATATTATCCAGCAGCGTCTATGTGATATTCTTCAAAAGCAGCTTTAATCTCAGTTTGTGAAAGGAATGCAAAGTCTGAATACGATCAGAAATTTTAAAAGCTAGTAATTGTCAACTGTTAATTTGCAAGCCCAAAGGATCTAATAATGGATTTCACCTTGGAAACAACTACTGAAGATGCTTTAAGCTTATAAAATGGAAACCAAAAGCCAAATAAAGGATGAATAAATCATTCTCATTTATACCTCCTATGAAAGGATACCAGTCAGTGTGCATCTTCTTCACCAAGTAAAGGTTATATCAGAGAGAATGTAGAGCACTGCAAATGTTAAGAGAGGTGACAACATGAACTGTTATAAAATATCTTTCACCAAATGAAAATAGAACAAAAAATAAAAAGCAAATGTCACTATAACCTGAAGGATAGGGGTGTAAATGCAGAGTACTGAGGAAATAAAAAAAGGAAGCTGTTTCCAAAGAAAGGTTTCATGAATTGGTTGGTTGTTTAGGACAACACTACTAAATGCTCATTTTTATGTATTTATACATTTTATGTTTTCCCAAGACGCCATGCAGTGATTTCACTTGTTTACATTTTCTAAAAGCCATGAAAGCCATGAAGAGTGTCAAGCGCATCTCATTATTCCCACTTGGGTACAGAAGGTGAACCTTAGACCTTTGGGATCCCAGCCAGGGATTTTCCTCTTGACCTCACTGAGGTCACAGCCTTGCTTCAGGCATCCACAACCCAGCAATACCTTGCAGAAAGACCAAGGGCAAGAAAGAAAAAGTCAAAGAATATATGAGGTGGAACAGCTGTTCCTTGCCAGACTGCATTGCTTTCCTAAGAAATTATTAAAGCGTCACAAATTCCATCCAAAATAATTATTTCAGAGGAAATAAAAAGAATGCTACCTACCTATACACATGTAGGAAGGAAATAGTATTTCCTAGGACTGTTGACAAACTTTAAACATGCCATTTCAAGTACCTGCTTCTTTCAAAGCTGCCTATGCACTGTTGACATAGGTGAACTAACTCTCTGCTGTTAACAAGGGACTCGTGGATGTTTGTTGTACAGAAAGAACACAAAATATGTATGCCACTGCATTTCTGCAAGTGAAATAAGCTACAAATATGCCTTCTTTTTTCACTGCATTACACTGAGAACAGAGTGAAATTAGATTTACTATACAGAAAGCCAATTGTGCTTCGGAAGAGATATGGAAATACAATTTAAATCTCTCATTTGAACTTCCCTTAGGTCTTATTAGCGAAGTACAAGCAAGACGTACGAAGACAAGTACGAAGGGAGAAGGGCACTGAATCGAGGGAAATGCGCTCAAATCTCCCTTTATTCCCGTGCTGAGAAGTGGAAGATGTGCACTGGCAGCTCCGGGATCAGCAGCAGGGAGCTCCTGTACTCAGGCTGGCTGCTGACAGCAATGAGTGAGAGAAGATGGTGGTGAGTGGGAAATGGTTTCTAGTTTGGGGGAGGAAGATTTAGGCTGGATGTCAAGGGGAAGTTCTTTACAGAGAATGGTGAGGTGCTGGAACAGCTGCCCAGAGAGGCTGTGGATGCCTCGTCCATCCCTGGAGGCGTTCAAGGCCAGATTGGATGGGGCCATGGGCAGCCTGGGCTGGTATGAAATGTGGTTGGTGGCCCTGCATGGGGCAGGGGGTTGGAGCTTCATGATCCTTGAGGTCCCTTCCAACCCTGGCCATTCTGTGATTTTGTGAGCTGGTTGGGCAGATATTTACTGAGACGCATGGAATCATGACCCCGTGGTTGTAATCTCATAAAAGTACGGGAAAATTAACCCCAGAAAACAGCCACTCGGCTGCATGCCACTTCACTCTCCCCACTGGAGGACGATGTGAGCTCAAACCCCGCCCACACAGCTCCACGCCCTCCGCTCCCCGCGGTCTTCGCGCAGGCGCGGGGTCGCGAATGGCGCGCAGGCGGAGCTCTCGCGAGAGGCGAGGCGGTGCCGGGGTGTGGAGGCTCCGCCCCGCGGCATGTGCCACTGCCTCCACCGCCCGTGGGAGGAGAGAGGGGCGGGTGGCGGCGGTGGTGGCCCCCGGCAGCGCCGGGCGCCCGCGTGTCGCGATGAATCTGCACCAGGTGCTGACGGGAGCCGTGAACCCCGGGGACAACTGCTTCTCCGTGGGGAGCTTGCACGATCAGCCCTTCACGGTGAGTCCTCGCCGGGGCCCGACAGCCCGCGCTGCTCGGAAAGCAGCTGCGTCAGGTCGCTGCCGGCGCAGGGCTCGACGCGGCGGGGCCAAGTTGAGGCGGCACGCCGTGGGGCGCCTGGGGGACGTGTCCGCAGCCGGCGGCGGTGCGGGGCCGTGCGCGGGAAGATGGAGGCGGCCCGCGCCGTTACGTAAACGTGGGCCCCGCGATGGCTGAGGAGAGCCCGCAGCTCGGCCTGGCGCCTTCGGGACCGCCCCTGCGGAGCGGTGCGTGGTAATGGTTGAAGCCTTCTGTTAGCGTGGGCTGCTGTGGCCTTGTCGGGTGATGTCCTTGCTTCCCGAAACCCGAAGCTGTCGGTAGAGGACAGTTGGAAGGTTTAAGTAGAAGCCGTTGTCACCTCACCTTCCTGCCGTGGCAAAGTGTCTGATATTCAGGTTATTTTCGGATATCCAAAAATTTGAAAGGCTCACGAGTGGTGGAGAATCACTTAGTTAGACGCTAGAGTTTGTTTTACTTCACCAGGGGTGTGCTGGTAAGATACGGACACGGGAGATTTCCCATTTTGACATGTTTACTTTTTGAGAGAGACAGGTGAAGCTTTCGGTGCCATTGAAGAGCTCTTTGCCTACTCCAGACTAACCTACAGAAAGTGTTAGAATTGCATAAACGAGGTTGAAAGAGTAATAAATCTCTGCAGAGAAAGTGATGGGAGAGTGCAGCTTCCACTGGCTGTTTTTATGGTCTCTTGTGTGCAAGAACTGTTTTGACATAAATATAGAGGCTGTGTTTCCTGCACACATGCTGATCTTGACTTGGTTTTCCCCTTTTACTCAGAAGGTTATTAATGGATTTCTCTTCCTTAGGTTTAAAGCTGCCAGCTGAAATAACTTGGCTGCTTGCTTTTTTGCTTGCTTTTTCAATTGTCACTCATTTTACAGCACCATATTAAATTCACTAGATTTTTCAGAAAGATAAACAAGTGAAAGAAAGGTTTTTCTTCCCAGTTTTTCTTTCCCGCCGTGGGCGGGGGAGGGGAAGGGGAACAATAGGCTTAATCTTTAGAACATGAAACAGGAAAATGGAGAGCTCTTTACCTGTATCTGAGATAGAAATAAAACATGAATAAAAAATGAGGAAAGGGAAGCACACCTCTCCCACCTATGCCAATTTATGTTGCGTGTGTGAGGAGTGGAGCTGAATGATTTTTAAGATCCCTTCCAACTGAAGGCTTTCTGTGAGTAGCATTTAGCCCAGGCAAGCAGACTGCGTTATATTTGCATTCAGTCCAGTAGAAGTCATAGATATTCGATGTAATTAGCAGAAGTCAATTTTCTATCTTTTTATTATAAGCTTTTGTTCCTATCCTGCTTTTTATTATTATTATTATTATTTTTACTTTTATTTAATGCTTTTCATTAGCATTGGTCTTTTTTTTGTTCTCAAATTGAGAAATTCAACTTCCTTGAGGTAATAGAATGGCTGTTTGAAACTTCTACTTTCAAACGTGATGGAAGTATTACTCAGCTATCACAGAATAATATACAGTCTTTTTAATTGATCCATCTTGTTGTGAAGCAGGGCATCCCAGGCTTTTGAACTTGATTCTTTTCATGTGTTAGAAACATAAGGACCCTTGAGAGCCACCAGTGGTAAAAGTGGCCCTGTGTTACCTCAGATACAGTAGCTCAATTGGCAACACAGAAGAAACAAGAGGAAAGGTAGGGTGGTAAGCTTCCAGTGTAGGAGTTAAGAGAGACCATTTCCAGAGAACTCCTGTGTTCTGCTAAGTGCCATCCACTGGTCTGCTTCATCTGGGAGCTTTGCATGACGTTAGACCCAGCAGAGCTCTGCACTGTCTTTATTGTCTGCATCATCAATGTGTATGTGCTTGCATGTCCCTTACACCTACATAAATGTATAAATAACTGTGGGTATGCATACGTACTTCTAGAAATAAACCTGTAAATAGTAGCTGAACTAGGCAGTGTGGCAGTACACAGAGTTTAGAGGTGCTGTGCTATATAGGAGATCGAGACTCTTGATCATTTACTCCTGTGATTACATAAAGAATGGAGTTTCACTTACCAGTATTTCTTTGTAAGAGTTGTGTATGTTGGACTTCCACTATAGAAAGAAGTGGGAATGTTTCACATGATTGCTTGCATTTTTATCCTTTAAAGGTACATGCTTTTACTGCTAGTGTCAAAATTCTAGAATCTCAGATCCTGGAATGGCTTGGATTGGAGGGGACCTTAAATTCTTCTAGTTACAACTAGCAGTTTGCCAGCCAGTAGGTCAGATTGCCCAGTGCCCCGTTCAACCTGACCTTGAACACCTGCAGGTGTTCAAGACTGGGGCATCCACAGCTTCTCTGTACAGCCTTGGCTGGCCCTTCACCACCCTCTAAGCAAAGAATTTTCCTTGTCTTATTACTACAGTCCCCAGTAAAGAATGTCTTTCCATATGTAAAATCATATTTCTTTGGGGAAGTTTGATAAGTTAAAGGTGATGTTTGGTGATTACGAAAAAATGAAATAATGGATAGAAATTTTCTGAAAGCTTTCTGTGCCATGCAGAGCAATGTTTATTTTCACAGACCCAAAACATATTTCACTTCCTAATTTCAGGTTCATTTTGCTGTATCACCAGCGAGTGAAGTCCATCTTCCCCCAGCTTAAACTAGTTCTACTTTGGTTGTTTGTTTAACAAAAGAACACAGTGTTTAATAAACATTACAACAATAGGGTAATGTAAACAGTATTTCCTTGTCTCATTGCATTAAGTCATCGTTTTGTAAATATTTCAGGACAGTTTTAAGGTGAAAAGTTTTTTTTGGCACACCAAAATAAGACTTTACATCATATCTCTTTTTAAAGCAAGCAGGCTTTTTTTTTTTTTTCTTTTTTTAACATGTTTTAGAATTTTTCTAGACATTATTTTCTCAGTATGGCAGCATTCTTTCAAATGTAAAATACATCTCTTCCTTTCCCATCCCCCTTTTCCCCCCCCAAACAAACAAGCAAACAAACCCAACAACAGAAAAAAACACCAATCCATCTGCACTAATAGAGATGAGCAAGAGTATGGGAATGAGATGCTTATACTCTGGAGCTACTTGTTGTGCAGAAAACAACATGCAAACTTTTGTGGATAAGGCCTGCTCTAAAAAGTAGGTAAACGTTGAGTAGTTGGCAGAATTCATTTTTGTTGTATGTGAGACTGTTAGGATACGGGATGTACCCACTGACTTCCATTCATTATATGGTGCTGAAATATCTTGTATTTCAGCACAGTTTTCTGTGCTGGAAAAAAAAAGGTAAGTGTAAAACTAGTCCAGAAGTTAGTTTGGTGCTGTTGTTTTCAGTAGGTGTCTTTTTAAGTGTAATACTGCTTACAAACCACCATGTTGGAGTCTTGGCTAAATGTGAGAATGTAAGTGTGTGTGAGAATGATGTCATAGAAGCTGCTTGAAAAAGAACAGCATGGGGATGGCAATGGACAGCTTAGGTAGTCTCCTCTGCTGAAGTATCTTGTTAGCAGGACATATCCTAGGAGTGGGTTGATAGAGAAGGGGAGAAGAGAAAGCTGTTGCAGTTGTACTTCGCAGACAGCTTAGTTACCTATTCCAACATGTTTTTGTGTTGGATGTTACTCTGTCTTCCCTTCTGTATGCTGTGCCTTTCATCCTTGAAATTGTGTTTCTCCTGTGGGTTAACTTCAACTAAACATCAAAAGTG